TACTACTACTACTACTACTACTACTATAATAATAATAATAATAATAATAATAATAATAATAATAATAATAATAATAATAATAATAATAATAATAATAATAATAATAATAATAATAATAATAATAATAATGGTAATAATTAATACCGTCATCATTAAACTAGTGATGATAATGGTAAATAAAAAAGGCCTTGATTATTTTCAAGGAAGGCAAAATGTCATCGTTTTTAACGATGGACAATAGCTTTTTAATTTTCAATAAATTCTATTCCCAACTTCGAATTTTTCCTGCTCAGATTTCTCAAAGTTTTGAGTTCTATATACTTTTCATGGCAATGAAAATGATCATTTATTCGTTTCTTTATTTTAATCCTCCTCTTATTTTTTAATTTCCGATATATCTTTTCGCCCTATCTCCCTATCTACTTATGCTGCATCTTTTTCGTATACATTTTTTTCCCAATAAATTAAATTAGAATTGTGAATTTTTACTTTTCATCTAATATTGGAAATGGGAAATTCCATTCTAAATAAGTAAATCATATATGCTATGAAGTACTGCTTAACATTCAAAATCAACCAAGTAGAATTTTTCAAATGATATTTGTTTATTTCTTCTCGTGATATTTCCAGCTTGTTATTTATAATAATAACATTTTCGATCTAACCGATTTGATATAGGTTCCGTCTATTCCGGAAATCTTTCAATATTTTTTTACCAAGTAAATTATGAAGTATTTATGGTAGTTTGCTGGATAAAATACTAATTGCAGCATTATTTTCCGCATTTTCCATCACACAAATGATGTTCAGCCATTTGAAATTCTCATTTGCTGCTCAATTAAGATAGATAATTATCTTAATTAAAACGTTTTTGATCTAAAGAATTTTAAGAGTAGAATTATTTGTGGAATAATTTGTCATAACTATTTGCTTATTTTGTCGTAAAGCACTGGAATGAATTTTCAAGAATTGAATGGAGAGGATTTCAACATAACACTTTTTGCTTCCATTACTGAAAGATGAACACATTCATCCGTTTCACTATTATATCCTTAGTTTCAAAGTTCATTTTCAATTCAATTTTTGTCTTCTCTCTTTTCTTTAAATTTCATTTTGAAGAAAAATAATAAATGGAACAATTTTATTTTGACAAAAAAATCAATAAATCTATAAAAACATAAACTACGAAACTTTCAAAAACACACTTTTCTATTTAATCATATTGTATTGTATATTTAATTACACAATAATTGCAATCATATTGCATTATGTATTTAGTTACACAATAATTGTAACTGTATTGTATTCTATATTTAATTACATAATAATTGTAATCCTATTCTGTCATGTGATGACACAATGACTAGTAATTGTATAAAATTATTAATATGAAGCGTACATCTAATATATGTATTAACTATTTATTTAATTTCAACTTTAAGCATTAACTCAGAGGATATCGAACAATACTTTTCTTTAATTTTAGTATTATATTAATTTGCATTTTCCTTATCAAAAATCGAACAATTTTTAAAATCATTGATATTTTTCCTTCTTTTTTTCTTTTTTCCTTTCCTTCATTTGTTAATGATTATTTTGAATTCATAATAGTAAGACAGCAATTCTTGTATTACTATAATACAATAAATTATATAACTACTTCAGATGAATATGTCTCCTTTTATCAATCCTTTTCCTTTTATCAATCTCCTTTTATCAATCTTTTTCTTTTTTACAGCTTTAATCAGCATAAAATTCATTAATTTTGAATATACTTTTGGATGCGAATTTAAAATCATTCAAATAGTTTTTTCATCATTATTATCTTGAGGATTATCACCACTTTAACGAATGGATGACATTACCTACGCACGAACTAATCATTAGTTATCCAAACGTAATTAAAGATTTTTTGCTGATCAAATAAAACTGGTTTGTGATATCACATTTAAATTGTTACAGATGAATGTTCTTTTCCCGATGCATTCTCAGATTCTTTTACCCTTAAACAAGATTTTTATGGATTACTTTTTTTTTAAATTGTGGTGCAGAATAGGTCCGAGTGTTCGCATTATTTTATATTAATTTAAAATTTTTGTCATATCACTCGACATGCTTGCTTTAAGCCCATTTTTGCTTTAATTTAATTAAAATAATCGATGCATTTCTTCTCTGTGCATTAAAGGTATTATTATTTGGTGAATGCAAATTGGCAATAGTGAAAAATACAGTTGAATTTTTGATGCCGAACTATAATCGTTGGATTTATTTCACTCTTTTAATTTTCATAATTGAGCCAGTTTGTTCGCGAACGACTACATGTCCACCTGGTGGATATCCAAACAATCTTAGTAAGTTTTGCCAGAAAAATTGCATAATCCATTTATAGATATTTAATTCAAAAGAACTAAAATTTTAATTTCTTCAATACGTATGGAATTTGAAATTTTTAATCGAAAAAATTTTTTGCTCTCTTTCTTGTCACTAATTTAGATCTAAAAATTTAAAATCATAGACATGCCTTTGAGAATTAAGCTTATAAAACACTGAAGAGTTTCTCTTTTCTCTCACAACGGTCGTTTCAAGTTTTATCAGAAATATGATCAAATCAATTGATAAAGTGATAATAGTGCATTCATCATCGCCTTATAACATTTATTCCTATCCAATGATAAATTCAACTTTTTGTGTTTCACTCTACCTAGTTTTATCAAAAGTTATTAAACAAAATTTGGTTTCTTTAAATTTTGAATTACTCATAGACAATTTTGAGTGATAATTGAAAATTATTAAATGGTGATATTTCAGTACCAGTATTAATATGGACAAAAGATATCGATCAAACATCAAAAATTTACCGTATTGGTAGCAGTGAGTTAAAACAAGAATATTTCACCAATTCCAGTTCTGATGAAATACTTTTAAATAGTGGAATTCCAACAGCTTGTCCTAAACCTTGTACCTACAAACTGTCCACATATATACGATCCATTGATGGTTGATAGTCTTTTTTTCTTTCTTTCAATTTTTCCTACCCAAATATCTTAAATTTCTATAAGGAAGATATTTTACTAACGAGACAGAAGTGAAGATAAAAATATTTCAAATTTAACATGGAAATTTAATTTTTTCAAATATTAAAAATTATCAAAAATTGTAGTTTTCACTTAAAAACCGAAAATTATGCAAAGACAAATTTTTCATATCATTAAGAGTAGCGATTATTTATCAGAGAGTTAATTTGTATTATCCAGGGGTCGTACTTCATCAAGGAAATAAGGAACGAACAGCACCACCTGGTTATGTCGATATCAGTGAACACAAAGAACTCTATTGTGCTCGATCATTGGGAGATTGTGGAGCTAAAACGCCAATTTATCGATACAAAAAAAGAAATCTACTAATTAATGATAAAGGTAAGAATGTTTTTTTTCTTTTAACTAAAGCTATAATTCGAAATTACGACTCAAATTTAAATCCCTTTTTTGGAATACTTATTTTTATTCCTGTAAAAAATAGGATATGCATATTCCTTTCGTGCAAATCAATTGATCAATGGTTATATCCGAGAACATAATCCGATCTGTTATGGATGGAAGGATAGTAGTAGTAAAAGTAGTGACAATGAAGTCCCGGGAACCAAGGATCCTATAGATTGCGTACCAATTCCAAATGTACCAAACGGACAAGTAATTGTTATAATTTAATTATTTTAATTATTTTTTGCAACAATATTCGACTTCCATTTATATCGTTTAAAACTGATGCATTGAATTTTGGTGATATGTATAAAATTTGAAGTATGACTAATTTCAAAAATCTTTGGTAAGCATCGATGATGAAGTATCATTTGCTTGTATAATTAATAATTTAAAGGTAATTTACAAGCCAGCGGAAGCATCAGAAAATTCAGAGACAGTGATGATGGGAAGTTTTGCGACACTACGTTGTAACGAAGGCTACAAACCATCGATGCAAAATGAAGTTGCATGTATTACTGGTACATGGTATCCGATGAAAGAGCTTGGTGAATGTATATCAGTTTCTATCGGTACATATTCTTGTATTGAATCAATTTTTTTTTTTTCAGAAAGAAAAAGTCTTTAGAAAATTGAGAAATTCAAAAATTAATTTATCAAAATTTTTTGCTTCAAAAACAAGAGCCAATGCTGTCTAAATTGGCTTATTGATTTGGTTTTATTTTTGATAAAATATTAAATTTGCTGTTTTTTTAAGGAAGTTTTGAAATTTAGAAACATCAGAAGGCTGTGCTCCATTACCGCCACATGAAAATGGTTATATTCTGTACAGTCAACGTGGTACCAGCACTTTTCCCAGTGGTACTTTGGCTTATTTAATATGCAATGGTCACTATCATTCTGTTTTCACCAAACAAGCTCAGTGTGATCATGGTCAATGGTCTACCGTAAAACTTGGAACTTGTCAGCTGACTACTACTAGTAGTTGTTCACCACTTCCAGCAGTGCAAAATGGCAAGGTTAACAAACTTCAGAATTCTAAATTCAAGAAATGATCCAAAGATGTCAGGTTATAAGATGTTGTAGTCTCTTTCACTACTTCTTTTTGATTATTCTTTATTCTGTTTGATAAATAGATCGAACTTCTACATGAAATTTTTAATTAGTAATATTTTCCTGTTTAGCATTTCGTGGTACAAAACTTTTTTCGTTTTCTTTTTTAACCGGACTTTTAGAACTAATTCGAATATTTATAACTGATAATAAATTATGCAAATGAAAGATTTATTTTAAATTCAAAATATCTTTACTCTTTGATAAGAAATATTAATAACATTTCTCATTGCTCTTTGAATTCAATTCAGTATTATTGCATAATTTCACTCTCATTGGTTATACTATCAAAGACTTGAATCTATTAATGTAACAGTGTTAAATGAGTAAGACAGAATAATTAAAAATAAAAAGCAGTTGCGATGAAATAATTAATAAATAACAATGCATATAGGTTAAGTATCTAATGGGTAACGAAAGCAATGTAATAATTGGAACAGTTGCTGAACTGGAATGTTCTCCGGAATATGTTGTTAACGGTGTCGATGCACTGATATGTGAATCATATGGATGGACACCTGCTCCAATTCTTGGAACTTGTCAGAAGGTGGATGTCATACTGTCTCTTTTCTTTCTTTTCTTTTTTCTTTTGATTTTTTGCAAAAGAAATACGAATGAATAAAACCAATAGAAGAAATAAGAAAGTCAATCAGTGAAGAAACGATAAAAATAGAAAAGTATTTAAGAAATTCCCTTTATTGAACATATTCTGATAGGTTGAAAGTTTGGAATAACAAAAAAGATATGGGTTAAAGGTTAGCAGGTTTTTGTTGTTATTCTGTTTTAAAATGCAGTAATTTTAGGATATCAGACGAAGGGATCAAAGAGAGAAACGACAGGTTAATTTTCTTTGAATTATCAGTACAGCAACAATCTGTAGTTTATTATGCAATTAGTACATTCTGCAATTCGTTGTCAAATATATCACCTCACTGAATTTCACAGTGTTTTTTTTTTCTTCCAGGAAGCAAGACCATGTTTCACTGGTCATCCAATCATTTCGAATGGTCAGTTATCGTATTCGAATGAGCCAAACTTGCTTGGAGCTTATCCGTCTGAGACTGTTGCAATTATACGTTGCAATACCGGTTATACTATTCATGGTACGTTCGAAATAGAATTTATTCTTGAAAAAAAATGTTAGATTCTCTTTTTTTTGCTATATTTCAGTGCATCCTCATTCATATCATAATCGTTCCATGGTTAGACTTGGATATCAGAAGCATAGTGACCTCATTTGAGATGTTTAAATAGTATTCTTACCATTATTCTAAGCTTTACTGAAAACTGCATGAAATCCTATTCATCCCTTAATTATTTTGTTTTACTTTTTCACAAAAACCAGGAAATCGAAAGCTTGTGATTCTTTCTTTTATGCAAATTCGCTAGATTTAGGTGCGCTTTCGTCGACATGCAAAGATTCCATTTGGAAACCACCAAACTTGGGAGTCTGTATTCTTCCATCAGCAACTGTATCAGTTCCATTTCAAAACCCATGTTTGCTTGGACTACTAACTCCAGTTGGCGGTACAATTACCTACAGTACAGGTTTGAACTGATCTTTTTTTTTCGCACCACTAAATTTTCTAAAACTTAATAGAAGTTTTTTGAATTTAATCAACGCTTAATCTTCTCGTTAATCCAGTTTGACTTTGTTGAACAGGTAGCACATTGGGTCCATTTCCGTCTGGTACTGTAGCTATGTTGAAGTGCGTTTACGGTATTCCACATGGAGCATCATTAGCAGCTTGTGATAACGGTTCATGGATCCCTCCTGAAATAGGCATATGCTCATTGTCGCATTTTCAGAATTCCTCAAATATTCGTTAGTTTTACTAACAGACTTTTCAAATTTTAAAATTTAAACTCTTCTAAGTCTCCAATCAAATGACCAATAATGCCGAACTCGTCAGTTTTCATCAGAAAGTTGCAAAAAAATCGTGTCAAGTGGAAAAACCAAAAAATCTTTTTCAAAAACAAAATGCCATATCACATTTTTCCATTCCCACTTTAGCAAGATCATTCAAATAGACGACGATTTTACTGAAAAATCATTCCTATGCCTCGTTTTTGCTGACTTGCTAAGCATTCAGGAAATTTGCGAAAGGGAGAAGTTGAGTTATTGGAAATCTTCCCTTTATGGCATTCTGGATTCTCGCTTATGAAATCAAACTTACCAACAAAAGAAGAGATTTTATAAAGAAATCAAAAAAAAAAAACAAATTAGTGTTAATTGGCATTAGGTAAGACAAAATAAAGAAATAATAATTGCTTGAAAAGCGAAATTTACATATTAATAATTTTTGTTTTTTTTTTTGTAAATACTAAACTTCTGTAAATTTCCTTTTGTACTAAATCTGAAAACAATTGAAAATGCGCAAAACGGACTGCTTGACCTGGAAAGGAGATAAATTATTCTCAAATTCTTATATTTCTTTACAAATGGAACAATATGAGGATGAAGTTTGTACAACACTGATGAAAACCTACGTGATAATGTCAACTGATGAAAATCTACGTGATAATGTCAATTTCTGACACTATTTGCATATTGCATTAAGACAGGACGAAAAAGTTTCTAAATTTTTGCAAAAATTAAGTAAATAGTATTACAAACCTTTTTATTAAAAAACGATTGAAATACAACAAATGTAATAAAATATATAAATTATATATCTTTTTTCTCCTTTAGCATAATTTTTAGAATTTGAAAAATTCAAAGTAATTACTGTTAATGGTAAAGTAATAAATAAAAGTCAAATAATGATTGAAAAGGCTGAAAACCGATGTGAAAAGCAGGAATTTTTTAACAGGAAATTTGTCTAAATTCTTACAAAATAGCTTTAATGTTTATCGAATATCGTTTGGAAATTGTTCAAATCATCACTCTTTGTTTCGAAAAATAAAAATAAACATGTTAGAAATCAATTTCAATCTGTTCATTCATATAGCTCTTTTTGTTTATTCATGTAATAAAGTAATATTTATATAATTTGGAAAAGAGAAGCAATATTAGATTAAAATTTACACTATAAGTTTATGAAAGGTATTAACATGCGGGAAAAAAAAAATCAGGAATGATATTGATATTAAATTTTCAGGTTCAGTTCTTGAGTTAGCTAGTTGTTTGAATAATTATCCTGTACCAGAAAATGGTATTGTTATCTATTCAAACAATGCCATTTATCCACCTTATCCGGCATTAACTACGGCTAACATACGGTGTAATCCCGGATATGCACCAGTAGGTCCAGTGATAGCCACCTGCCAGAACAGAATATGGTATCCACCGATAGCAACACAGTGTATCCAATATGATAGAGGAAGTTCGTGGTACTTTTAATTTCAGTACACAATATAAGCTATGTATATTATTAACCTTAAGACGTATACACCGGTTGTAATTGGATTGCACTATATTTTGATTTTGGTTTGGTAACAGAAATACTGTAACCTTTGGTTGTCAAGTTGAACTTAAACTGCCAAATGTACAATATAATTACGATCTTAAGGAAAAAAAAAGAAAAAACAAGGAGAGATTTTTGTTTTCACGATAATTTCATAGCATTTTCATAAAATTTCGAAAAATTTTTCTACAAAGTATTTCAAATTTCATCAAAGCAAACTTAATTTAGAAATTTATAAGTTATACCTGTCATATACTGTAAAATTCAGAATTTTTACTTTATTTCTCAGTCTCTACTGGTAGTTTGCATAATGTAATATTAAGTACAACGTTAGTTCACCGCCTACTGTCACCTTAACAGGTAACTGTGTCACCGGTATAGCTCCGCCAACAAATGGATACATTAACTACAGCACTGGTTCAAGCAAAAGACCATTTCCAACTGAAACCGTAGCAACCATGAGTTGTGATCTTGGCTTCAGACCTGTTGGCGTTACGTCATCGACGTGTCTGAATGGAATCTGGTCACCACCAGTATTAGGACAATGTGTTCATATAGGGTCAAAACTTTATGGTACTGTTCTTTTTTCTTTATTTAAATAATTCTATTTTGTCGAAAATGAATTAATGAAAAATCTTTGTGGTCAATGAAATATTTATTCAAATTTTACAGGTGTGCCTCTCGATGGCTCAATAAGTGAAACAAGAGCAGGACATTGTCCTGCTCTTGTTTCACCTGTTAATGGTTGGATATCCTATTCGAATGGTGCAGAGAAAGGATCATTTCCTACCGGTACTACAGCTATCGTTACTTGCAATCCAAACTACATACTCCTCGGGTTATCAACCGCCGTATGTACCAATGGTGTTTTTTCGCCTTTGCTTCTGGCACATTGTGTACCGGGACCGGAAAATGTTGATGGTGTGAATATCTATCTTTCTTTTCTTGATTAAAAGAGTTTAGTTTTTTTATGGCCAATAGTTTTTTATTTCTCAAATGTTAAATAAAATTTAAAAGATTTTCATTTCAATTTTGTTTTTAAAAAATTTAGCAACTTCCTTCTAAAAGTTCAGATCCATTAAAAATCGGACAGCTGCCATGTATACCTATCCCAAAACCATTAAATGGAAATTTGACATATTCGGACATTACTGCAGCTTTATATGCTTCGAAAACAACAGCCACTCTAGTATGTAAACTCGGTTTTGTTCCAGTGGGTCCGGTAGATACAATCTGCATGAATGGTAGGAAACTTTTTGAATTATAATACTATTAATGAAGAGACCCACTTAATTAAGCTTATTTTATCTAAAAGATAATCAATCATGCTAACATTGGTTACATTCCGATTCATGAGGATTAGACCTTTGTGGGGTGATTTTTGATTATAAAAAAAACGCTTTAACTGTAGTCTAAGTTTTTCAGATAACAAATATTTTTTTTAATATGGAATGATCTGAAAATTTCTTAACTTTTTTTAGGACAATGGCAACCGGCTTTAGGATTCTGTCAACAAAGTATAATTGGTTCAGGAATGAGCCAAGCTTTCATTTCTAGACAATGTTTATTTGAATTGCCTGTTGTAGCAAATGCGAAAATACGATATTCTACTGTAAGTTAAACTACCTTAAGATTAAAATGAATTGAGGTAATTTTGTCACATATGTTGGATATGTTGGCCAAGAAGAGTGAGAGTAAAGAATTTTTGAGCAAAATCTTAAAATGATTTTCCAGGGAAACATATTACCGCCATACGATAGTGGAACAATAGCGAGGTTAATTTGCAATAGTGGTAGTACTCCAATAGGAGAAAAGTTCTCAACTTGCATCAATGGGTCATGGAATCCTCCGATGTTAGGCCAATGTCCAGTAAATGGTAAGTGAATGATTGCACACCCAGAAGAATCTAATTGATTTATTCACGTTAAATTGTTTTTTTTCTTGAAATGCATAAAATTCATTTGATAAATGTGCAGCAAATTGATTTTGTTTTTCAAATGAGTTAAACAGAAATAATTAAGAAATCAACTTTATTATTTATACCTATAACTTTATTATCTATACCTATATTAACTTCATTATCTATATCTATACTTTATTGTCTATACCTGTAAATAAATGTTGACACTTACAAGATGAAAGCTAATGGCTTGTCTAAATTATGTCATTGCGACAGTGTTCTGCATTGAACTATCTATGAATTCTATTATTGATAGAATTTAAGTTCAAAGATTACAAAAAAAAAAGTAAAATGGTCCTTCTTCGGTATGAAACAAAGACCGTAAATGTTTCCGAAATTGATACGCTCTATTCTCGAAATTTCATACTCTTAGTAATTAAGTAATCAACTAGAAGGTAAGAGATTCGTGCATGTTTCCAAAAATTCACCACTTTTCACTTCACTTCCGCTATATCGCTTACCTAAAATTTTCACTTCAAGCTTGCATATACACATAAAGATTTCAAATTTCATTAATTTACAGAAAATTTGAAATTGCTTCAGACATCACACGTCATGCTTCATTTATCAATGACACTTTTTTTATCTACTTCTTGAGCATCATTTTCTGTTACAGGTAATGACAAAGGTCATCTAATGTTTGGATTAAAACAAACTGTGCTACCATTGATTGGCTGTTCTACTTCTCCACCTGTTTCTAATGGAAAGGTAGAGATTTAGGTTATTACTTTTCAGTTTAGATTTTAGAATTCCAAAAATTTTTTTTTGATGTTCCAGAGCTGTGATTTGTTTGCGAAACATATAAAGACAAAACAAATAAGACAGTGTATGAAACGATGACATTTAGGTTGACACGAAAAATGCAAAGTTTAGAATGTAACAAAGGTATTGTTTCGTAATTTTTAATATATCAAAATTTTGTGCTGCCGTAATTGACTTTATGACATTCTTCGTAGCATCCAACTGTTTATTTTTTATTTTTTAGTTCCATTGAAATCGAATTTAAAATAACTTCAGGTGTACTATAGTAATGTTAGTAAAAATAATATGTACGCAGTCGATACAGTGGCAAATTTGGTTTGTGATGATGGATACATATTAGTGGGACGATCGATATCCTATTGCCAAAGTGGTATTTGGTCACCTTGGCCTGGTGTTGGTAGTTGTCAACCCTATACGCAAGAACAACAACAACAGTATACAATCAAACCAAAGGGTGCATGTTCTGAAGTGCCCATTACACCTGCAAATGGGATGGTTAGTTTTATTAAATTTAAATGTTAAAAATAGTTATTGATTAATGGTAATTTCTAATTCCTTTTTTACGACATTTTGTCTACTCTTGCTGTTTGACCCAGTAATCTAATAACTTTAAACTAGCTAGTCTCAAGAAAGTCTAACCTAGCAAGGACTTTAAATTAGGCTAGTTTCGAGAAAGTCCAATATAACTTTTGCTATCCTCATTTTAACTCTGTTTTAATGAATCATGTTGCAGATAATATATGAAAGTAATGAAAGTACTACATGGTATAGCAATGGCACTAGCGCAAAGTTACAATGTAATGCTGACCATAAAATCAGTGGTAAGGAAGTGACTTACTGTCGGGATGGCTTTTGGATACCATCGGTTGGAATTTGTCAACCTATAATTAGCACCGAAACTGGTGACTTCTGTGAACCGTTCAACTCTCCACCAAATGGAAAGGTATATTTTTCTGCAATTTTCATGAGATCTTTTTCTTTCATCTTAAAACATTAAAATTATTTTGGTTATGATTTCCCAATTTTTAGTCTTTCAAATTCCAGTTCATTTCCTGGTCATTTTAATCCTACACAAAATTCTATGATTTTTAATTTTTCTGTTATAATTATAGCTGAGCATCATAACAAAAAACTTGAACGACTGATTTTTTGGGACAGATATTGAAATAATCGGTACTGTAAAGCGGTACCATTTCAGGTTTACTATATTTACAACAATTATACAAAGGATTATCAAACGGGTACTACAGCTATCTTAAGCTGCAATAAAGGTTATCGGGTAGAGGGAGAAACAACGCTTATGTGCAACAAGAATGGCTGGACACCAAATAGTGGTTTTGGGATTTGCATTCCAGTGGATGACAGTTTCCACAAGCATTCATAATAATAGCATCTCTGTTACCCTAATGTTTAGTGATGGGTCAAGAATCATTTGTGATATAAATTCCAATTCTGACTCATCAATACCTAAATTATGTTTTAATCAGATATTCAAATATTTAAAGTTATTTAGGTTTCGATCGAATTACGATTCTTTTTTAAATCAATTAAGATGCATATTTTCAAGTGTACAATTCGCAAAACTAACGTATTCTTTAAACCGACCTAACTTTCATTATAAATACCAATAAAAATTTTATGCTAGATCCGTCAGTGGTAAGTATTATTCCTTAGTCAAAGTTTTACAAAAAATGCTTTGCTCCTTGCTTTTGCATTAACTGCCATTTTTTAAATTGAATCTTAAGACAATTAAAATTGTACTTTTAATTTAAGGATTTGAAAACATTATTTCACCCTTACTAACAAAAGAATTTGAAAAACATGCAAAATGAACGTGTAAACGCTCCGTTGACCTTTCATCAATTTGTGGAACTTTCTTTTATGTTTACTTTGAATATATCGTTTGCATTCTACCTTATTCAGAAGTTTTCACTCCATCAACAACACTAATCATGCATATGATAATTGCCATAAATGCATGCAGCTTACTTAGCGCAGTACAATGAACTAATGATTTAATACCATGAGGTCATGAACCTTTCTAAAATAATTTTTGATGACATATTCATTGTACACCAGGATTTGCACCTTCTAAGATATTACATCTATAGTGTAGTGGTATTCCTTACATTAAAAGGAATTTTTAAAAAATGCAAGGAGGAAAGCAGTGACAACCTTGTTAATTTTTTTTTTTCCTTTTCAGAAATGTTGTCGTTGTGTTAATTAAGCATATTAATTGGGCCAGATTTCATGCACGCAAGAGAATAAATTGAAATCATTCAGTAAACATGAAGCATTTTATGTTCAAACTTTGTCTCAATTCAATTATTTATATGACATAATGCTTACAATAGTATCTATCGTATGTCAGTAAATACAAACAGTAGAGAAATGGTTAATGGCTAATGTATAATATGAATATACAAAAATTGAGAAATAAATTAAATACACGATCAAATTAGCAGATTTTTGTAAAATCATAAATGCCCCTTTCCTTCTCCCCTCAACTTTTATTTCAAATTTTTCACGGAAAAAAGTGTGAAAGAAAGAGTGATGAGATCAAGTAAATGTTAACTTTAGAAAAAGAACACATTTCAATTAGAAATAGTTTTAGGAATTCTCAACAGGTAATTGAATAAAAAGTGCGACTCTGTATCCGTTTACTTTGTTAGAGCCATTTTTTGTATTGTGGAAAAGTTTAAATTTAATTTAAAAGTGGAAGTGATAGTCTTAGTTTCAAATTACCAGGTGGATTCAAGCCTCTATATTCACCTGCAATGCAATGTCAGCGGTTAGTTTGATCAATAATTATATGAAAATAGTAAATAAAACTTTCTTTCATTCAAAATTTGCCTCTACATACTTACCGGGAGCTGGAAGAATAACATGGTTTTAACATTTAAAATAATCTCGGCTTCTCTCGGGAGAAGATATTTATAAGATTCCTCAAAGGTTTGTTGGGGAGGGAGGAAAAAATGAAGGCAATAAACTGGAATTTTGTAAAAGAAGTTAGCACAAAATTAAAAAGGGATAAAACTGAAGTTATTCAATGTTTTGATTAAATGCGGCTATGCATAATGCTTTATTATCGCAATCTATTTGATATTTCGGAAATGTCTCATTAAGCTAAAAATACCGTATCCTATTAAAATACATGCTCCCAAGATAATAAGGATAAGTCGTATCCATCCAACACATTTTGGAATCAACATTATACCAATAAACAGCATTTGGAATAGATCATCAGAAAGTTCACCGTGCACTCGAATCAACATCATCGGTGTCATCAAGTTCGGCAATCGAGTTGCAATTCTAGGAAGAAGTATTGATATTTGTAATTTTCGAAGATTTTAAATTTTATCATTCAAAGAATATTTCCACTACTGTTCTGTCATCGAAATTTTGAAATTAATTCAGAAAATTTGTCAAATATTCAAACTTCAATTGTTTAAATTATAACTGGTAAATAAATTATTTTTCAAATATTATTTTGAACTTACGTTGATTCATTCGTTCGAAACATAGGAAATGACACCATCAGTTGGATATCAATTTGCATCAATAATCCCGTTAACTGCAGAGAATGTTAAAATACAAATTTGCACCAATTTTACAGATATCATTTCTTTAAAAGAGTAGTATTGACTATTCGTGATGCTAATGTAATTATTATG